ATGTAATAAAAGCTTATTGCTTAGGGTCGCAGACATGTCATTGACATATATTAGACATAAAAGAGGACCTAAAATGAACCTCAGGGGGACACCATAGGTAGTCAGAGCAGTAGAAGAATGAGTACCAGCCACATACACCAGATGCTGTCTATAAGAGATAAGACTTGAACCATGTAAGAATGTCATTACCTATGGCAGATGCTTGAAGTTTCATGAAGAAGAAGAAGAACTTCTTCATGTGCAGTATAGTGTGATCAACTGTATCAAATGCCTTTTGTAGATCTAAAAGTATCATGCAATACTGCCTTTGTCCATTTCAAATTTAATAAAATCTGTTAAATAAATCAAACATGTGTCAGTTGAAAAACCACTTCTAAACCCTGACTGAAACTGCCTGACATGACTCAAACCCATGACTGTCAGAAAACCAACTGAGCTATCTGGCCGGCTACACATTTTCTCTTTAATAATGAAACAGTTCTAAACCACAACATATTTCCCTACTATATTGATTTGTGTCCTTGAATTTCTGATGTTTACAGATCATAGTGAATTAAACTCAGGGTTGTATGCAGTCACGGGTTGAGAAAAACTTTCAGCTTGACCAGAACTCGAACCTGTGACCCACAGAATAATGTACCTCGGCTGTAGCTATTGAGCTATCTGGCCGCTTACTCATTTTCTCCCCTAAATAGTGAACAGTTCTAACCCGTGACAGATACTTTTAGATCTTTAAATTAACAGGTAGATTAATTAAACAGATAAGAAAATAAAACCTTACATACTCATAGTCATTATCAAAATAACAATTTATATATTGTATAAAAGGGCTTAGACAGTTATTGGTTGTGCCATTATTTATAACAGTTAAATTTGAAAGTGATTATAACAATATCTATTTTTTGTACAGATAAAAAAACTAACCTTTTTTTCTTTCATAAGAAATGTTGTGAAGACTGATTTGTATTTTGCATCAGGGGCACCAGGCGAAAACATGAAAATGCAACAAACGAACAACTTTGTGATAGATTGTATTTTCATGTTTTCATCTGGCGCCCGGTTACTTTTTGTACTTTGTTGGCTTTCATGTGGCACATAAATCACCCATTATAAAATTTAGTGCACAAGTCTTTAAATTCAGAAATACACATTATATCCATATACTAAGATACACATGCATGCACATTACATTAATAATTCCCAGTTTCCATTAAAAACAAATATAACATCCTATTAAGTTATTAACATTGGTACTTGGATGTAATTCATAATTTTGTAGAAAGAATACTATAATGTATAGTATAAAAGTAAAAAAAATCTCAAATAGTCTATATCATATAATAAAGATTGAGTTGTGTGAGTGTTTACACATTAAATGCATATCTCTTACAGTAACAAATACTGTCCCTCTTTAAACCTTCCATTAGGCTTAACTGTATAACTAACTGCATATATTTCAAGTGATTAAAATTGATAACTTCTGGATGTTATCCTTTCTCTGTTTTAATATATGGACATGAGCACTTATATGAATAGCCTTTCATTTTTAATAAAAGGTTATTTTATTAACAATTTATGATGTTGATATCTTCAGAAATGAAAAAGTTATAGTGAAAAATATTTTACTGCACCAAAACTTTAATCTGAAATCTGGACGCCGACGCCACCATCGACGCCGGGGTGAGTAGGACAGCTCTCAATATACTTCGTATAGTCGAGCTTAAAACCGGGCAAAATATTGTTCTTGTGCACTGCACATTTTCCCATTGAGATCTGTTTACCTACATTGTTTCATGTTGATATCTCTTATAATTTTAGAGTGATGTTCTGTTCAAAGTGTTAAAATTAACAAAGGGCAATAACTCCAAAATTAGGCAAAAAAGAGTTATGGTTCTTGTGCACTGCACATCTACCCATTGAGATCTATTTACCTACAAAGTTTCATGTTGATATCTCTTATAGTTATAGACTTATGTCCCGGACAAGGTTTTTCTAAAGGGGAGATAATTCAAAAATGGGCAAAATAGTTATGGTTCTTAGACACTGCACTCCCCCTCAATGCCCTCTATCACTGTATGAAGTTTAAACATATTATATCCAAGGATTTTCAAAATATGCTCCAGACAAGACAACAGACGGACAAGGTGGCGACTATATATGCTCTCCCTTTGGGGAGCATAAAAACTTAAAGTAAATATATCTCATGTGATTATCAAGCAACACCAGGTCACGGAAGTTCTCAATTGAAACTTTAATTTCAACTGTTTATTTTCAAATACAACAATGGAAATATGAATGATAACAATTAGAGCATTTCATCACACATAACAAAAGTTGACCGAAAATCATCTTTGCAACCAGAACTGGTATGAACAAGAGCCACCGCAAAAAAAGCAAACAAAGAAATGTTTGAACAAAATATTAACGTTTCCTTTTTATAAAATTAATCATTCTGTCTTGTCACATTAGTTTTGTCTATATATTTTATATATATAAATTTACTGATTTATATATATATAAATAGAGACACGCAATTCGGAGTCACATGGTGGTGTCACGTGGTGGAGTCGCGTGGTGGAGTCAATTGGTGCAGTCAAGTGGTGCAGTCACATGGTGGTGTCATGTGGTGGTGTCACGTGGAAGTCATGTGGCGTCACATGGTGGAGTCATGTGGTGGAGTCACGTGACGGTGTCATGTGGTGGAGTCACGTGGAAGTCACAAAGCGGAGACACGTGGTAGAGTCACGTGGTGGAGTCACGTGGTGAAGTCACAATAAACAACAAGGTCTTGTCTTTAAGTATGTTCTGTTATAATATGAAGTTGATCCCTTCAATAATAGCAAAGAAACAGCCAGTAAAACAAAGTCAAGGTCATTGATGAGTGAAGGTCAATAATAGCCAAAAACATGAACATTTCAATAATTTGACATTCAAAGTCAAGGTCATTTATGAGTGAAGGTCAAGGTCTGTCGGGTTATTTTTAAGAGTTATCCTTGAAGATTATTATGTTCAAGTTTGAAGACAATCCATTCAAAAATAACAAAGTACAGCCAATAATAGCCAAAAACATGAAAATTTCAATAATTTGACCTTCAAAGTTAAGGTCATTTATGAGTGAAGGTCAAGGTCTGTCAGTTTATTTTTAAGGGATATCCTTGAAGATTATTATGTTCAAGTTTGAAGACAATCCATCCAAAAATAACAAAGTTACAGCCAATAACAGCATGAACAAGCAAAATTTGGACTTTTAACCTTGAAGGTCAAGGTCATTTATTGATGAAGGTCAAGGTTAGTGTGGTCTACTGAAAGGTCTTGTCCCAAGGGTTGTTGTGGCCAAGTATGAAGATAATACACCAAGAAATTAACAAGAGGGCCATGATGGCCCTGAGGTCGCTCACCTGTATATAGGGCCCCGGAGCGGGGCCAGTTTAAACCCCAGGGATTTTATTTGAACAAACTTGGAAGACACTCATTAGAAGTTGTTTCACAATGTTAAGTTTTTATTTCACAATGTTAAGTTTTTACTACACACATATAATGAAATAATGATCTCTCCTCCCCCCCTCCCCTGGCAGGGCCAATTTTCACCCGAGGGCTTTTATTTGAACAAACTTGGTGGACATCCATAAGAAGATATTTCATGCTAATCATCTAAGCTCAAGCCTCTTTGGGTTTTTTCAAAGAAGATTTTTAAGTTTTTAGTATACACATATAGTTAAAAACAATGACACCCCTGGGGCGGGGCCAGTTTTGACCCCAAGGCTTTTATTCGAACAAACTTTGTAGACACTTACTAGAAGATGTTTCATGCTTAATATCTAAACTCTAGCTATTTAGGTTTTTTCAAAGAAGATTTTTTAAATTTTTACTATATGCAAATAGGGAAAATCAATGACCCCCCCCCCAGGGCGGGGCCAATTTGACCCCAGGGCTTTTATTTGAACAAACTTTGTAGACACTCACTAGAAGATGTTTAATGCCTCACATCTAAACTCTAGCTATTTGGGTTTTTTCAAAGAAGCTTTTTTAAGTTTTTACTATATGCATATAGGGAAAATCAATGACCCCCTGGGGCGGGGCCAATTTTGACTCCAGGGCTTTTATTTGAACAAACTTGGTAGACACTCATTAGAACATGTTTCATGCTGAATATCTTAGCTCTAGCTCTTTGGGTTCTTTAAAAAAGAAGTTTTTTTAAGTTTTTACAATATACAAATAGGGAAAATCAATGACCCCCCGGGGCGGGGCCAATTTTGACCCTAGGGCTTTTATTTGAACAAACTTGGTAGACACCCATTAGAAAATGGTTCATGCTAAATATCTTAGCTCTAGCTCTTTGGGTTCTTTAAAAGAAGATTTTTTCAGTTTTTACTATATGCATATAGGGAAAAACAATGACCCCCCGGGGCGGGGCCAATTTTGACCCAAGGGATTTAATTTGAACAAACTTGGTAGACACTCACTAGAAGATGTTTCATGCCAAATATCTTAGCTCTAGCTCTTATGATTTTTTAAAAGAAGATATTTAAAGTTTTTTCTTTCGGTTGCCATGCTTACACAAAATGCTGAATTTCAATATTTAAAATAGAGACATGAATACTAGGCATATAATTATGCTGTCAAAATCTTGTTTTTTGAGATCTATTTGTTGTCATACTTGTACAAATCAATAATACTCTTGCATGACTATAACGCAAACATTATATTTTACTTGGGATCAAATTTATGTCCTTGCTCAAATTATTGGCGAGGTGTCATGGGCCATTTAAGAGGATAAAACACTATAGAATACAATAAGGCCATTTCCGGAAAGGAAACAAGATCTATAGGTGATATTAAGCTCTTCACAAATTTTATTCAAATGAAGGAGTAAAAATTTGATAATGCAGACAACAAAATGAAATTGACAGACAACAAACAGCCATGGTTTCTGATAGTTTTTACAGTACAGCATGCTCAAGCGAGCTTGAAAGGTGGACAATTTACAAAGAAATTCATACCTGAGGGTATTCTGAGGCATTTTTCTTGTACTTTTAAATATCTTTTTGGTCCTGAACATACTTCATAAAAACTTCACATACAAGGCTATGAGCATGCTCTGTCTGGCATACAATTGTCACTTCCTTTTGAAATGAGTCCATTTCAATCACTTTTTGCTTACAATATTCTAGGTAGCTCTTCAGGAAACAATTTGCAGCAAATTTGATCTCATCATCATTGTTTGATTCTGTAGAAAAAGAAAATAACAGCTGGTTAATTTGGCTTAGAAACTATACAGCAGCTTCTTTTAAACAAAATGTGATATAAAAAGAAAGTAAGTCATGAAAACCTTTATGCTCCAACATGCATATATAAAATCTTTTATCATATGGATTCAGTTTTTCCATAACTACTAAGTATTTACACCACATTCAATTTTCAGCGGTCAATTGATATATATTTTGTAATGAAAGGTATCCAGCAACAAAGTGAAGCAGTCCAACTTATTATAAAACCAAGGTAATATTTATTAAATCATATTTCCTATGTATTAGCACACATTTTTTAAAATGTTGATTAAAACTAAAATTAAAGTCCATAGGACACAGGTGCCCCACACTTCACTATTTTGTCAATATTATGACTCTAGGTCAAATATTTTTTGGGCTACATGTGCCAAAAGTTAAAAACTCAAAATCTTTTACTAAGAAAAGGGCAAGAACTTTAAAAATACTGAATAAATCCACAGGCTTACCCCAAAGTGAATAACTACAAATGCTGACCAACATTCTTGTAAATTTTCAGGCCTACAGGTCAAATACTTGTTGAGCAACACATGAACAAGTTGAAAAATGCAAATTTATACTAAGTCAAGGGCAATAATTCTAACAAAACTGAACAAAATTCACATGCAAAATCCCAGGTGCATAGCTTCACAGTGATGTTGATCATTACTCCTGTGAAGTTGGTTGATTCTAACTCAAGCACATAACGAACAAATAACATAACATAATGAAACAGTTTTTACAAAGTCAAGGGCAATAACTCTAAAAATACTTGATAAATCCACAAGCTAAAAACCCAAGGTGAACATACATGCGATCAACATTCCTGTTAATTATATAAGTTTCAAGACTCTAGTTTAAATACTTTTGAGCTACCCACCACACAAAGTGAAAATTGCAAATTTTCACTAACTCAAAAGGGCAATAAATTCACAAGCGAAACCGAGGTGCACAACTACACATG